GCCACAGCCTTTGGAGCTCCCCGTGTTTGCTTATGCCCAAGTCTGATGGCACCCCCCGTTTCTGCACTGACTACCGAAAGGTAAATGCATTGACAGTCTCTGATTCTTTTCCACTTCCTCGTATGGAGGATTGCATTGACAATATAGGTCCTGCCAAATACATTTCCAAACTGGACCTTCTTAAAGGGTATTGGCAGGTGCCTTTCACCCCCAGAGCCTCTGACGGTTCCGCATTTGTTACACCCAACCATTTCATGCAATACACGGTGATGGTGTTTGGCATGAAAAACGCACTGGCCACATTCCAGCGTTTAATGCAGCTGGTCTTGGGGGATGTGCCTCGGTGTAATGTGTACTTGGATGATGTAGTGATATACACAGACATGTGGGAAGAGCATGTGGCTATCCCTCAATCAGTGTTTCAGCGACTGGCCGAAGCCTCATTAACTCTAAATCTCGCTAAGTGCGAGTTCACCCAAGCGACAGTCACGTACCTGGGAAAGCAGGTGGGTTTCGGGCAGGTTTGCCCGGTGGAGGTGAAAGTCGAGGCTGTCCTCAGCTACCCGGCCCCAACCACTAGGCGGGAGCTAAAGCGGTTCCTGGGCATGACCGGATACTATCGCTGTTTTTGCAAGAACTTTGCGGTAGTTGTGGAAGCTATGTAGCCCCAAAATCCCGTTTGAGTGGTCAGGGAAATGCCAGCATGCATTTGAGTCTGCAAAATCCCTCCTAACCCTAACCCATTTCACCGTGTATGTGGGCTCTAGCTCCTTTCCAGTAACAGTGTTTACAGATCACAATCCTCTTACGTTTCTCCAACGTATGTACAACCACAACCACGCTGGGCATTGGTGGAAGATTATGATCTGGCTATCCAACACAAGAAAGGGACTGAGAATCTGGTGGCTGATGCACTCTCGCGCAGTGCATAGTGATGCGTTTGTTCTGTGTTTTGTATAGTGTGAATGTAAGGGGGGGGGGGGGGGGTGTCACATCCTCTGAGTGTGTGGGCGTGGTGCTGTCCTCTTCCTCTCCTCCTCCTTCTTTCTTGCCCCTCCCCTTGTCTCTCTCTGCCCCTGCCTTCTCCTTTAGGACACACCTACTGCTCATCTGCCCTCGTTTACCACCAATTACCCTCCAGAGGTGATATAAGCTGGCGGAGAGCAGTGCAGGTGTGGCAGAGGCTTCTAGTGGATTTCCTCTGTGCTGATCAGTGTGTGATTCTGGTCTAGGCGTGGAAAAGGCCTGCTGTGAGTGTGACCAGCCCCACCGTGCGTGGCTCTTTGTGAGTAACTCTCAACTGAGCACTTGTTTTTCTTAAGTGACAGCGGCCTCTATTTCTTGGTTTTGCCTGTCTGGTTTATTGCTTATAGCTAGTGATAGGCAGATGAAGCTTCATGAAGCACTGAAGCTTTTCATCCAATTAGTTCACCCCAGCGCAAAGCGTCTTGAAGCTTCATTTGCTCTAGTAGGACATCTACTGGACGTAAAAATATTAGTTGGCATGAATTTGAAGCGTGTGGCATTTTGCACACAGCCTGTAAATGTCAACAACAAAAGGAGTGTGTAAAACATGTATATTGTAGTGATGGCAGTATACTGTGTATATTTATACTGGCAGTATGGAAAATGATTATTTGGAAATGCTTAAAATGGAAACGATCATTTACTGTGAGGTGAGGTGTGGTTGGGGTATGGACAGTGGTTGTGCTTTTGTAACGTTGAGATAGGGACAGCAACACACTGAGGCTTTGAGGCCTCAGTCCTGCCTGTTCACATTTTATTCTGTAAAAACGAAATTTTCACTGCTTTTATGACCTTTTTAGTGGGGAGAACATGGCTAGGAATTAATGATTTAACAAATCTTTTAAAGCTTTTGTCCTCCACAGTGCTAAATGGCTGGGAGTCCTCAATCACCATGCTAACCAGGTCTTCATGTATTTGAGATTGTTCTCCTGAGGAAAGACAATAAAAACAAAGCACAAATATAAATATCACACACGTAACTTATTACAGTTGTATAATATTGTTATATCATTTAGTAACATTACTGCATCCTATATTATCGTGGCATTTGATGGCTCACCTGGTCTTGCTCCACAATCGGTGTTCCCCTTATTCTCATGCAAAGCTCTGTAGTGCCTAAGCATGGATGAGGTGTTGTTGTTATATCCCAGCTCCCTGGCACATAGCAAATACTTTACCTTGTACAAAAGTAAAGACAACTTAACATAAATTGTATTGCACCATCAGTATTATGAAAATACATCTTCTGTAGAAATTTACATACCTTGTTGGGAGGAATAAGATCAAAATGTTCCCACACAGGGAAGGACATCCTCCTCTTCTTAGCTGGCTCCATTCTCTCCTGACTTTCTCTCCTCACTCTCCTAAACCTCCAAACTCTCTCCAAACTCTCACTAACCGCAACTCTGCATCAAACACCCACATTTTGAATGAAGTCTGATGGGTTTATATCGCTGTCATAGCTCGCGGCAAAGTTCGAACCACTCCTTTAACCAGTCACATGGTACAGCTGGGCAGCGAGGCTTCGGACGTCATCATTTTCAGCTCCTCCCATAAATGAAGCAAGCCTTGTTACGCGCATCATGGAAATGCCCCCTCCATTACTCGACACAAGCTTTGAAGCCTCGATACAGAACATCACATCACTACTTATAGCAGCGTTGCTGTCTTTTTTTTGTTGAATCCTTATAATTGTTTTCAGAGTTGAAGCGGCCACCATTTCTTTGGGTTGGCCTTTGATTTATCGTCGGAGCAGCATTGCTGCCTCTTTGTGTTGATACTGTTTGTATGGTTATTGGTTCATTGGTTATAATATAGACTTATTTTGTGTTAAACACCTCTGCCTGGCGTCCTTTTCATTTCAACCCGGATCCAACTGTTACTGTCCCCCACCCTCTTCGCCTAGCTTTCATGTGGGGACATAACACACATATTCACTTATTCCATAAATATTTTGATGTCTGTCACTATTGTCAGCTGTGTTTAATGCATGTTTTATAGCAAAAGACGGGAAGAAACAGGTATGTTGTTATACAATATCACAGACTCATTTTAAATACAGTGAGTTTGAATGACAGTTGAAAAACTTTGGGTTATATGTGTCATGAAGGAAAATATCTAACTTGGATGACCCCACTTTGTGGTACACTGACTTTGTAAAAATTATTGCTCATATGTTTTTTGTGTTTACTTTTAGACCTACCTGTGCTAGTCTCGGCTCAGATTCCTGCTTTTGTGGCTGCTTCAAAAGGAAATGCCCTCTCACTCATATACTTTGACCTCTGGGCCACAATTGACAGTGCCCCCTTTTCAGTTATTTTTCTGAAAATAACATAAAAATAAAAATAGTAATGATTCAAATGCCTAAAATCTTTTGTGTGGTGGGAAATGCTACCAACCGGAGGTCATCCATCACCTCACACACAGTGACAAGTTAAAAAGATAAAATAAACAAGTCTTTGGTGTAAAATGAAGTGAAATAACATCACACACAGAGACACTCTCAGTATAAGGTAGGAATGATTTATTTTGAAAAAGTCTTGCTTCATAATTGATACAAAGGAGATTTCAAAAATAACTATAAAAAAAGCTGGAAATCATTTCATAAAAGTGTTTAAAAATATGACACAGATTGCGATTTTACCATTTCATTTATCACTTAAGCAAATAAAAATTCAATAAAATCTTAACCATTACTTAGGTGTGAGAAGGCTCAACCAAATTATTTACCATTTGTATTTTATAACAAAACTACATTAAATATATTTTTATATCAAAGCTAAAAACTTTTTGGGAAACAAAAAAACCCTTTTATAACAAATTCATATAGTATTGTTTTGGTTCCTATGTCTGATAAACGATTAAAATGTAAAAATATATACTTGGGTCTCAGTAGTAGAACTTGTTTAAAACATAGGAAAACATCTAAACATACATTAGTTAAATTTTGCTTTGGCAAGTGATCACAACTGTTTAAAACATCAAAATCTGAACATTTGCCTTTTCATTATAATAAGTATGTGGATCTCAAGCAGGTGAGCCATGTGAGTCTGTCTGTCAACAAATGTAGTAATAAAAAATAAAACAAGAATACTTGAGGAAATAAAAGAATATTTGATCTTTACATTTTCATAACAAAACGGTACACAGAATATTTCTTCAGTAAGTATTTGGAAATGAATGTAATAATAAACAAAACACTGATATTTCCGTCTTCGTTAAAAGTTGGTTAGTCTTTAGTACTGAGACAATTTTTAAAAAATCATTTAATTTTGATTGTGATGCTAAATAATATTTGAGCTTTAGATTGTAGATATCATCCTTTTAACATGTCAAAACACAGTCACAGTAATTGATAGTCCATCTGTCTTAAATCCTTAATTCACATATGCTTCTATTTTATTAAGGAGCTCTGATGCCTTGTTCAGTGCCAGCATTTCATTCTCTGATCTGAATCGTCCGTTCGGTATGTGAGGATATGGATGGCAGTTGGGATATTGAGTCTTTTTGGGATCCACTCCGAGTGTCTGCAGGTTTTTCACAATCTCAGGCAGCTCTCTCAGTTGGAGGCTGTAGCGGGAAACTTGTGCAGCAGTGGCTGAAATTGAGCTGCTGTTGGGGTGTTGTCCATTTTTTTTATAGCATGCTGCTATGAGAGACTTTTCTACTGCTTGATGGACCTTAAACAGACACCACTCTGTGCTCCCTCCACCAGTGTCTTTGTGAGCTGCATTGAGATCGCAGCGAGCCTGTCTACACCAGCGTCTGGCCTCTTCTCTGTCTGGCCTTGGGACATTTTCATTGTGGGTCCAGAAGTTGTAGGAATGGAAACCTCTATAACCTCTAGAGAACCTCTCTCGACTGTTTCTGTGATACCTGGCCTCCTGATTCCACTGTTGATAGAAGCCTCTGAAATTTGTGTTTCTGCTTGAAAAGATCGAGCCTGCAGCTTTGCCTTTGCTGAGCTCATCAATTCAATTCTGTAAATATTTGAATGCCTCACTGGCGAGAGACTGGCAATCCGGATTTTTGTCAGGGTGCCACCTGAGGTACAGTCTCTTGATGGCTTTGTGCCTCTCCTCCTCAGGAAGCCTCCAGATCTCTGCCAAACATTTATCAATTTCCCTTTTAGCTTCCTGAACAGAGGCTGGTAAGGAATTTATTGATGATTCAGAAGAATGTGGCACAGCTCCTGCCAGTGGTTCCAGCTCCATGCAAGTGTTTTCTTCTGGTTTTAGCATCTTCTTCTGTAGTTCTGGCTCCATGCATTTCCTCCTTTCTGTTTTTACTTTCTTTTCTCGTTTAAACTGAAACAGATCAACACAGCTGACTTCAATGGGCTCATCTTCTCCAATATCTATTTTGTATCTCCATGAATATCGTCCATTGTGACCAGGCAGTTCTTCAACAATAACTGCATAAATGTACTTGTCATCAATGCTGTAGCCAACATATTCCCCCTCTTCAAAGTTGTTGAGGACATTCATGTCCAAACAATCATGCCATTCTTCTGGAACCTCTGTCCCAGGGGCTGCTGGACTAAAAGAGGAACTTTCAGTTTCAGCACTGTCACGGATCTGATTTTTAGCCAGAGTTTTCCGAACATCTTGCAGATCATCACACATGAGGAGTTGTCCCAGCACTGGAAGATGAACCGATGCAATTCTGTTTCCTAAAAGAGCATTAATCTCTTTTGTCAATGTTGTAATGACTTCATTTATTACTTTGTGAGCCATGTCATCATTGTGCTTTAAGTAAAAGGTGCATCCTTGTTGCCCTCGTTCCACGGATACATCAGTTTCTTCATCAGTTTTGGGAAGTGGCTGTTTATCGAGCCAGAGTGTTGTTTCCAATGTTTTGCAGCAGATAATCTGTATACTGCCAAAAATCTTCTCACATATGTTAGAAGCATCTTCTTGTGTTATTTTGCCTTGCAACTGCTCTCTAAGAAGACAAATGAATCCATATTTAAAGGCTCTTGAGGAGAGATGTTTAGCAAACCATCCACTAAATTCACAGCCAGTCCCAAGTTTACAAAGCTGCATCTCTGATTCCACAACTCTTTCCTCTGTGAACTCAGACAGCATCTTTGGCTGAAATTTCTGAGGCAGCAGTTGCAACAGCTGATGATGCATGTATTTGTCGTTGCCCAAATGACATTCACTGAGTTTCTCAAGCAGCAGGAACTTGTTCTCCAGCGCTTCTTCCAACCTTTTGGTCTCAAACACTGTGTCGTTGTAGCAGAGTGTGGATGATGGGTATAATTTACCATCTACTGCAGGAAGATACAGAGTCTCAACATTTTCAAGAAGCGTCTGGTTTCCGTGAGTTTTGATTGACTTAAACAACTGCTCAACAGCTCGTTTCACAGTTCTCAGCTGGTTCGAATGTAGTTTTTGTTTATCACAGGAATCAGCGTAAACTGCTGCCAAAACATTACAATATTGCTCTGCAGTAGCTTCGTTCTTCACACCAATTTTCTGAAAGAACGGTGCATACATTGCATCTTCTGGAGTAATCTTGTACAGATATGGTCTGAAGTCCCGATCATAGGAGAGTGACAGACACACGTCATCAGGCCTCATAAGTTTTGTGTCTTTTTCAACCAACACAACAGGAAGACCAGACAGCTGGTTTCCTTCAAATCTTTTTGCTTGCAGGTAAGCGTACGAATTTCTGAACACTTTAGCTCGTGTTTTGATCAGCTGGTCAGTTTCACATGGTGACTGACAGATGTTTCTTATGTTACTGGTTACACAGTTTGGAGGTGGTTCCTCATGAGCTCCTGCATTTTTCATCATCTGCATAAGTTTCTGTGTTGTGTAAACTGGTAGGTCTATAATTGGCATTGAGGTCCAAATCAAATCCTGATGTCCTGGATTTTTCTCAATCAACGAGCCTCTAATTTTAACAGTAGTTCCTTCAGCAGCAAATGGTTGGTGGTAGTTGGACAGTTCTTTTCGAATCATAACTGGAAAAATGAATTTGATGTCGGCAATCCTCTCCAAAAAATGTTGCTCTTTAATTTTGATGTTGCATGCTTTATTTAAGACTTCCCTGAAAAGTAATGATGATTTTAGTTTCATGTCTTTGAGTCTTCTGTTAACTTTTCCTTCTGATTCCAGCTGGTAAGCAAAATGTATTATCTCGTCCGCTGACACAACATGGTTCATTCCAAGTTCTCTGACCAGGTCTTTTGCTTGTTTTTTTATATAACTATCTCCTTCACACAGTTCAGACCAAAATCTCTCAGGAACAAATCTTTCGTGGGGCAACATTTGTTTGTACAGCTCCACACTCTCATCAAAGTAGTATGATGCAGGCTCCAGTCTACCTTGAGAACTGCGAATCAGTTTCACTGTCTTCAGTGAGGAGATGATAGTTTTCTTGTCCTCTGAAGAGTAATGTAGTGACAGCAACAGTTTGAGGCTGTGAAGAATCTGTGTCTCTGTGAGTTGGTGTACAGCAGGTAGAATGAACTTCATGAAATACTCCAAATCATTCAGGACCTGAATGTTGAGTGTTTGTGACAGCATGTAGTTCTCAGAGTTGTGTTTCAGAAAAATGCTGCTGTTTGTGTGTAGGTTGGACAAATCATGAAATATGACTGAATATTTGATGTTAAGGATGAAAACCTTCTTAGGTCCATCAATCCTCACTCGTTCACCTTGTGTTGTTTCAAATATTGGTAAGGATTTGAGCTTCCTCACATACGCTTGGCTGACTTTGAACTTGGATAATCCTGATTGCAAGAACATCTGAAACTCTTTCATATCATCATTTGAAAGGTGGGAAAACTCTGGGTGATTAATGTTGTACATTTGATCCAACACTGAGCTTTGATCATCTACATCAAGAAGCTCATGCTGTAGATATGAATATACCCGTCGGTCCACCTCAGAGAAGAAAACATGATCAGAACTCATAAAACCAAGTTTGAAGAGGATGCCTGATATGTCTTTGTGTTTCTGTGAGGCAAACACAACACTTGAAATGTGTTTCATTGTTTGCAGCAAGTGCTTGTTGTTCAACCTTGGACACACAACAGGTAAAATGTAGCAGTCGCTGAAGAGTTTCTTCACATCACTTAGTGTCAGACTTGACTCGTCATCTCTAGATGTTGGTAGTTTAATTTCACTTGTTATGAACATCCAAAGTGATTTCAGCCACTCCAACATTGTCTCATTTGGGACATGAAGACCACTGTGCGGATCAACATAGCAGTTCTCAAGAAGATGCTGAACAAATGGTTTCAAGACTTTTGCTGCACATGGCAATGATAACGTTTTGACAAAGTTAAAAGTTTGTAGAAGACGAATGTGCTGAATGTTTGTGTGATAATCTGCAAATGTTTCCTCATAGCCAAAGAAGAGATTTGCATATCTTGATATCAACTTGGGTGACTGGGAGTTGAAAACTGTCAATACTTTATCTCTTGTGAGAAGAAGCGGAAGCCCATCAAGTAAATTTGAATTGTCCTGGGTGACCTTTTGTGAGGAGAAATCTTTTAAACAAAAACTCAAGAGCTCTGAACATCTTGTCTCATCTTTGATCAAAGTGGCACTTATGGGTAAAGGCAAATCCTCATCTGTTTGGGTTGGATCATTTAGAGGTTTTGCTCGTAGGAAAGTCTGCACAGTGGAGGGACTGACCTCTTTCACTTCAACCCCAGCAGATCTGAAACTTGTCCAAATCCTCTGCATGTTTGTGGAATAAGGAACCAGCTTCATCCCAAGATCTTCCAAGATGGGCATCAGCTTGTAGTTTGTCAGGTTTGTCAGATAAGGGTCCTCAAGTGAGTCTGTTTCACTGACATTACACCAGTCAAATGAGAATTCTTTAATTTTTTTATCTGCAATTTTCCGTGTTGAGCTCTTCATCACAGGGATTACATCAAGGCCTTTTTCTTTCAGTGATCTGTATACTCCATGTATCATTTCATGCCAGTCTGGGCAAACATCCTTGGACACAGTTGGCCAAAAACACAAGTATTCTGTACTGAAACATGAGCCAATAAATGTAAGGGAAACTTTTTTGACTGCAATGCTGCGCCTGATGTAATGCAGGAGATCTGCATACAGTGGTGCGATGACGTTCTGTTTCAAAATCTCATTCCAGTTTGATTTCTTACTCTTCCCATCTTCTTTCCAAAGGCTTCTCCTGGCAGAATCAACCTCAAAGTTTCCATTGACATGTACTGGCAGTCCAGTTTTCCCTGGCAAAGGAAGTGAACAAAAGGCTTCTCCTTTAAAATCCATGATGATGTATCCTTTTGTGTTCACACGTGCAGCTAATGATGCTTGGGGAAGTTTGTCTGATATTTTCAAGAGAAAATTGTATTTGAAGGACCAAACTGTTCTGCAACAATCCATGTAGTTTGTCTTTTATCTGAGGTGGAAATCACAGTTTCATAGAAAGTCTTGTGCGGTGTTGGTTTGTCTGATTGCAGTGCATTTTGTAAATGTTTGACAAAAGTATCTTTTTCTTCCCGACTTTTCTGTGGCAGATTTTTTTCAACCTCAAAGATGGTTTTAAGTCCTCCTGAATCTTCACTGATTTCATGGACTTTGATTTTGCAGATGTTTTTCAGAAAGAGAATTAGTCCTTCAGGATCTTCAGACAGGGCAGAGCACAGTTCTTTCATGTCGTGGTCAGTGACTCCTTGCTGTGATATTTTGGAGGTGTTTGCATTTGTACCCATTCTCAGAGGTAATCTGAACATGGTGCCCTCTTTAAGAGAAAATTTGTCTGGAAGAAAGGATTTGTAGACATCTACGTACATTTCTTTGAAAGTGTCAGCGAGTTTATAGCCAATGCCATATCGTTGGTTATTTGAGTGATTTTCAATGTATTTTTGATTGGGGTCAGAAATGCAAAGTACTTCATCTCCTGTAAGGATCGAAGGGCAGTCAGTCAGATGGTAAACAGAGTTGAATCCAACTCCGTACTTGCCTATCTTCCCTGGGGTGTTGTGCTTTCCTCCCTCTCCCAGCTGTTGAATTCCCTTAATGTCAGCATCAGAAAACACTTTGTTGTTGAACACACAAAGTGCTGGACCCTGGAGATTGTTCCATTTCTTCCCAAATGTTTTTACTTTCCCATGTTGTCTTTTGTCCCAGATGAAGTGAATTTCTGTTGCTTCTGCATCATCAGCATTTTGGATGAGCTCTTTAAGGATATCCTTCTTTGATGGATAGGCTGAAATTATGTTTTTAATACGAATAGTGAGTTCTTCCTGCTGTTCAAACTCAAAAGCTAATGGTGAAAGGTCATCAAATGTGTGGTTTTCCAAAGTATGATGCCTTGTTGTTTTGATTCCAAGGTGGCGAGCCATAACACGTGGGATATTCTCGTGACACAATGTGACACCTGAAGTGAGTGGCATCCATGGGCTGTCATTGTAAAATAGCTCACTAGCAAACTGCAAAACTCCATGCTCATTGGGTATCAGACAGTCATCTGTGATTTTGACTTTGACCTCAAATATCCCTTTGTTTAAAATTGTGAAGACAACTGAGAGATCACTCTTTGGTAGGGGCTTGTTTCCATGTTGAGCTTTTAATTCCTGCAACACAGTTAGAAACTGAGTGATTGTGAATTGTTTTTCAACACCTATACATGTCCAGAGGTTCCTGAAGCTTGTGAAGGCAGCTGGAAGTACGTGGAGATAGGGCTTTGCTTCAAATTGCCCGTTCTCAGCTACACGGTCGACATTCACAAATGTTTCGCCAATGAGGATGAATGGAAATGAATATGCCCAGTGTGGGATGTAAGTGTTTCCAAAATGAGAGATCCACTGATCCAGAAACTTATAGCACTCAGATGCTATTTTGTAAAGCATGGATCTGTCAATAGAGTGTGCTTGTGTGCTTGTTTGGTGCAACTGCTGAAGCACCATCTGTACTTTTGGAGTGCTGTGAACTCCTAAAATCTGTAGAACTGGATCTGTGTTGTGTATGTTTAGATTAGTATGATCCAACACTGGTTGTGTCATGTTAACAAGAAGGGAGCATTTGTCACTAAAAACATCAGTGGGCCTTTTAAGTGTTACATTTCCTTCCATTTTTGCATCACCAGGTGAATATGCTGGAAGAAATGCAGTTGTCCTGAGTGTTTTCCAGTGCTGAGAGTCTTTATCATAAATGTGATTGTTCATCAGTTCAAAAAGGCACCTCAAATGCACAAATGCTTTCTTTTTGTCAATGCTCCAGGTTTTATTAATTGTGCCTGCTTTCTCTGTGATGTCTTCCAATGGGAGATGGTCATTTGCCATACCGAGTTCCAACAAACGCTGAATCCTTTTTGGAGATCTGAAGTCATTTTTGGATCCACCAAGCAAGCGTCCCTCTTTTGGTTCAAAAAGACAGGCCACCTTCCCTGTAGGATTCACAATTTTCCTGACATGTTGGAGCTGTCCACCCTTTGTGGGTATGCATGGATAGCAAAGCAGCAGATTGTCAATTTCTTTGATATGAAGGTCAATAGCATGCAGCACAAGGGTATCTCTACTCTTCGAGTCCATTGTAGTTAGGTTACTGAACACTGCTTCTCTGTAGAACTTCTCCCAGTTCCAGGTCCTGTTTTGTAAAACCTTTTC